AATAATAATAATAATAATTTAATAAATTTTTCTGCTTTTTAAGTTGTTTCAGATAGAGGAATAAATCTTTGTTATCCCATCTTTTCTGGAAACCAGAAATGTTTATTGAACATTTACTATGCACCAAGCACTTTACATTCATTCTTTCATTTAATCCTACCAAAATCCTATGACGTAGATACTACTAGCCCATTTTACAGATGAGGAAATGGGGTGTGGGAGGATGAGAGGATTAATGATTAGAGTCATATATCCTATTAAATGGAAGAACTATTATCTGATCTCAGATGTGTTTGACTACAAAAGAATGCTACCTCCATATAAAACAGAGGGAGATGTACAGAAAAGAATATCAGTGTGAATACATGAAATCCATTCTGCAAAATTCATTTCAGTCATAACCACTTTACTAAGCAGTTTAAGCCTTCTTTCCCAGTGGTGATAGAAGGGACATGATCTGGGAGTGACAGTTTTATGTTTTCAGTCACTATCTCTGTTGATTCTTCTTTCTTGTCCCTTAGTGATGTCTTGGGCAGGTTATACCCATTTCTGGTCACTTTGGTTGTTATAAAAATCCAATCCACTTTGAAGTTCCATTTTTATATACAATTTAAACCCATCCTCACTGGACGCCAAGGAGCTTGGAGAGGAGGAGGATCAGGATCTGCCCTTCCATTCTTTCCTTTCTACCTGCTTGGGGTGGAATGGGGAGCACGGTCTTGTTCTCTGTACCTCCTCTCCCTCATCTTTTCAATACTTAACAGTTCTGAGGTTGTGGATCAGGAGGGGAGTAGAGAAAAAGAGAGCTTCCTATATAACTCTACATTTAGGGCTGAGGCATTACTAGTCTTGCCCTGACTATTCTTGTTCCTTGGGCTGCTACTGCCCTCTGCTTTAAAGATGATCTCTGCAGTGATGTTCTGTGTGATTGCAAAGAGGAAGTTCACCTTAACTCAGATTCCCCCGTCCCTATCTCCCTCTGGCCTTGCTTGTGTTACCACTGTTTCTCTGGGTTAAAAAGCAAAACCAAACAAAATATTGCAGACAAGTCGATTCAGACTCACGGCGACCCCATGTGTGTTAGAGTAGAACTGCTCATAGGGTTTCCTTGGCTGTAATCTTTTACAGAAGCAGATCACCAGGCCTTTCTTCTGTGGTGCCATTGGTTGGGTGGGTGTGAACCACCAACCTTCAGGTTAGTAGTCAAGAGCAAAGCATTTGCACCACCTAGGGGCCTCTCTGGGTAAAGTATTACCTTATTTGACCTAGAGGCTTCCAGGGACAGCCTCATGGTTTCTGCTCCCTCATATAATCTCCAAGCTCCTTCATGTGGAGCCAGGGAACTGCTGAGGTCTTCTTTGGCACTCTGAAAGGGCTGAGGGGAACTAGGATGGTTTTGGCACCAGTTTCTACCCAGGCACAGCAGATTAAGGCTCTTTATTGCCCTTCTGCTATGGATTATTTCTGCAAGCCTCCTCTCCTCAACTCCCTCGAGATGAGATGCAGGAATCAAGCTTTTCTAAATACTCCCTCATATTCTCAGCTCTGGTGGCAACAAAGAGATGAGGTGGGGGCTTCAAATTCTAAAGTTCATCAGGCCTCCAGGGGTGAGTGAGGTGCCAGTCACCCCTTGAGTAGGCACCCCATTCTCTATGACAATGCTCTTGGAACACCACCCCATTAATCTGAATTCTGGAGGTGAGAAAATTACCTCATGGGAAAGGATGGGACAGGAATTCTCTCCCACTGAGAGAATAACAACTTTCACTCTCTCTCCAGTAATCGTCTTATAATAGCTAAGAGGGGTGAAATTGTTTGCTGGGTGATGATTGTGGGTAATAGGGCTTGTTTAACCGCCTTTTATTAAGCTCTGGGGGGATTAATAGGCCCCAGTGTTGGCAGCTCCCTTTAGTCTGTGGAGTATTAGTGCCTATTGTTTTCAGATGGGGCCCCAAGGCAACAGTAAAAGTCCCACTCATCATCTTATTACGTAAACAATAATTCAGCTTGGTATTCCATTGCAGCTGTCCAGAAAATGATCACAAAAGTTGATTTAAATTTCATTTGGCCTAACCCTCCTGTCACTGTCACTCGTCTGAAAGTTTTAATAAGAACTAAAGATCACAAACATATGTAGAAGTCTGGGAGAAGTCAGTAGGGTGTGTAATAATATAAAATTTGAAAAAAATTAACTACTCTCCTGCACAAATGGTGTATAGCTGTGACAAAAACCAGCATGGCTTCATCTTGGCCTGACCTGGAGTTCATGAAGTAGGAATGTGGATGGAGGGATGCAAGGAAGGCAAAGGATGACGGAAAGGAGGAAGAAAAGTAGGGAAGGAGAAAGAGCACGCACAGTACGTACTCCTTGCTTTCATTCCTGGCTCCCATGGACAGAGCTCAGAAGGAGAACAGTGGTGCCCTCTCAGGGAGGGCTGTAAAGTAGCTGGCTTCTTTCACTCAAGAGCTATTTAGAGCTCTGGCATTTTGGCCAGAGATTGGTATCCATGGCCCAAGGAGTTAGCATTCCTGATTCGGGGAGGCGACCAGGAAAGATGAGAGTTTGCAAGTACATTCAACATTTCCCCCTACGCCTTTCCAACTGTCCCCACCCTCCCACATACACTACGCTTAAGCTTGCTGAAGAAAAATAAATTCATTAACCCGACTCAGCCTGACATAACTAAAGAAGCAAGCAGAATTCTCATCGTGAGAACCCTGAATTTGTAGGTAAGTGCTATTTACTCAGTTCTTTAGTAGAAATTTAGTCTAAACTTTAGACTATAAAGCAAGCTGCCTGAAAACATATTTCTTGCTGTTTTGTTACCTTATCCTCCATTTTAATGTTAAGTGTATTCCTGTATTAGCAATGCCAAAGCTTTATTGAGAGCTATCCATTTGTGGCCTGGGTGCATATTGCACCCTTAGCTCTGAGAAGAGCATTGGGAAGGGATCAAAGAAAGCGGCAGACACATCCCTGCTCATTACAGTTCAGAAGAGAAAGATGTTGTGGACTTGAGTGTCAGGATACCTGAAGGATGAGGAGGATCTAAGGTCTGAGACGGGTAGGGGCGGAGCCGGAAGAGTTTATGCCCAATCCAAGTGTTCCACCAGTGCTGCCTATGCTGTCTCATATTGGATGTCTGTTCTCTTGCTCAGTAGACCCTACTCTGTCCACTCCTTGAGGTATTGATTTTTGAGATTTGGCAGGCATTATTAGACTCCAGAGTCACAACTCTGAAAGCTCCTTGGAGGTTGGAACTGTGTCTCATTCATCATTACCCTCAGCACTTAGCATACCACTTGGCACAGGGTAGGGTCACAGGCTGAATGAACTCATGCATATGTGAATCAATGAAATGCCATATGTGAATCAATGAAATGCAGAGGCCCCAGAATGGCTCTGCCAGGAATCCCCAAATCCTCCTCGTCCTGCCCCAGACTTCCGAGTATGCTCTTTGGGAGCCTTTAAGAATAGCAGAAGCGACTTCTTTTATTGGGTTAATAATGCCTCATTGTATGTGCAGGGTGATTTTTATTTTTTTTAAAGAGCTTTTCATATACTTCTCATTTGGTCTTTACAACAATCTGATCAGAGGATATGTAGGGGACTTATCATTTATCCCTATTGTATGAGCAAGGAGACTGAGGCTCAGAAGAATGTGTTCACCCTCAATCCTTCTATTTCACTGTGAAATGTGAAACTCACTTTACTACAGAGCAAAAATTCCCAATAGTGTGGTTTCAGCTGGTTAGGCGGTGGTGGTTTCAGAAAACCACGTTTCAAACACTGATCTCTGACAAACAACTAGGGCTCAGTGGCCTGGTGTTGTGTATCAGGTTAGCCGTGGTGCGGGCAGAGTCTTGATTTATTATCTCTAGATCATGAAGAGGACAGAGAGGCACATGGTCAGGGGGCCAATGCATAAGCACTTTGATTTGGAGGGGAAGACCACCCAGCAGGTGGAAGCCAGGCTCAGCCAATGTCTGCAGAGACTAGAGGGCATCCACCTCTACCACATGAAGCTACTGACCAGGGAGCAGAGACAGCTCCAAAAGGAGCTGCAGAGGTTGCAGCAAGGTAAGCAAGCATCGGGGAGAGGCCGAGCAGGGCAGCAAGCCCATCATGTGTTTTTTGAGATTTGAGTCCCAATTCTGACAGCTCCTTGGAGGTAGGCACTGCATATCATTCACCAGTACCCTCAGCTCTTAGTGGAGCACCTGGCACAACGTAGCGTCACAGGCTGAATGAACCCATGCATATGTGGATGAATGAAATGCTGAGGCCCCAGATGGCTCTGCCATGAGTCACCAAATCCTCCTCATCCTGCCCCAGACTTCTTACCTCATGACAAAGGCCTTCCAGAGCCCTGCAAACTAAGGAAGCAAGATCTCCTCCTGGTCTCAACCTGGACTGTGGGCTGCCCAACCCTCAATGGCCCTCCACTCACAATTGCACAGCTCCCTGGAGAGGCCCCTGCACAAACCTTCTTGAGCTAACACTTTACAGGCTTCTAGTCACTGTAGTCTTTCAAATTAGCTCTCTCTTGCTGTAATCCTTAGTTTTCCACTTTCTGATTTTATTTCTTATTCTTTTCTTTGGCCATATCTGAGTTGTTTGGTTATACCCCTTTTTTCTGGTCTGGTCTTTCGCTTTTGGAGCTAACAACCATTTA